AAAAAAAAAAAAAGAAAGAAATATTGGCAAACTACTAATTATGCCATTACCAGGATACATAGATACAACCGTGCCTTTTGGTGCCAATCCTTTAGTAATGAAGACACCTCTTCCAGCAGAAATCAATGAGCTAGTTGCTCGGGCAACACTGAAGCCCAGTGTCTTATAAAGAATTTCTTCTGGTTTAAAGATATTTTGCTGTTGATGTCTATATTCAAGCAGTTCCACCCTTGGACGTTGAACTGAAAGTAGGTCTTGATATTTTGATTTAACAGGTTCTGGAAGCATAGTCAAGAGGTCTGATTGTTTATTTAAATCATTTATGAATAGAGACTGGAAAACTTTCAGCAATGTTCCTAGGACATCTTCATCTGAGATAACTTTGTCTTTGGATTCTTCTGGAACATATCGGAGGGTCCTGAAAATGGGAAAAGTTTCTATTCACCACCCTTTAATTGATAAAAGCCAGACAATCTTGATACCTTCCGGGATGCAGGCCTTAATGAAGATTATTCTCATGTGTCTGAAGGGCATTAAACCAAGAAATTTGGAGAAGAGTTGTTTGGGGGTAGATTTAGTTACCTAACTCCCAAGAATACCTACCAACAAGTTAACAATAGCCAATATTTATGAAAGGCCGGATCTATATACCAAATGCTGTTGGGTGCTTATATTCATTATCTCATTTTTGCAGACAAGGAAACTGAGGTTTTGAGATGTTATGGAACTTGCCCAAAGTCCTAAGGCTGGTTAAGTGGGGGTGCCAGAAGCAGAAACAGAGCTCTTTTCCCCACTATACCTACAGTCATTATGTTAATTGTATCACGTGAGACTCCTCCTATTCCAATGGTTCTTTTTACAGGCGGGTGTTTCAAAGGCAAATTTAAGTCAACATAACACTTTTGTCACCTTCTCTCCCAGCAGTACTTCTTTAATGACGGTATCATTTTTATTTCCACAATGGCATTGTTTTTACTTCTGTACAAAAAGGAAGCAATTCCCGCCTCACAGTTCTATATAATGATGCATCTGATTCCACATCTCTATAGCATGAAACTTTGGGAAAGTTTTGTGGCTGTTAACTGGCCTTCAACGAAGCTAGTGCGCCTATTTAAGAGAACATTACGTGCACTTCCTGCAGATCAGTAGCGTGTCACTTACTAAAGCCGTCAATACGGCTGTTTCACGGCCACCAACTCAGCTGGATCCCTTTCTTCAGACATTAAAGCAAGCCCTTATTTTAAGCCCAACACTGACTTTCTTTTAGTGGTTTTTGCTCGTTTTTATAGTTCAGCTACTCCAAGCTGCTACGCTCACAGCCAGGTTGTCTTGCATTCGCCACGTAAATACTACAGAGCTGTGAAATAAATCTCGGCTTGGCTTTTCTAAGAAATTTCAAGCTTCTAATTCTTCCTTGGCTGCGAAAAAGGCCACAAACCCTCACGCTGTACGAGTTTTCTTCTTTTTCAGAAGTTACTGTTTTTTGCCCAGACACAGGCACCCCAGCCGGTGGGGACCGCAGGAAAAACCCAGCGGCCCTGGCCGCGGGAGAATGCCGCTCGCAGACCTAGGCGCGCGGGGTGCGATGGGAAACTGGTCTCAGGCCCCGCCCACCTAAAGCCCCGAGTCCTCTTCAGGCCTCCGCCTTCCTCGGACACCGTCAGCCTCAGCCTCGTCCACCTCTGACTCCGCCCACTCAGGTCCCGCCCGCTTCGGGCCCCTCGGCCGTCTGAAGTTACGTCTGCATGCGGCTCCGCACGCCTAGGACTCCGCCCACCTCGGGGTCCACGCCTCAGGCTAGGGGCGGCGGGGCGCTACAGGGCTGAGGGAAGGCGCCCCCTGTCCAGCCGCTTCGCTTTCTCACCTTGGGTTATGGCTTAGGTTCAGCGCGATCCAAGGTACAAAGCGGTACTTGTAACGGCGCCACCGCTGCCACAGGCCCTGCAGCAGACGATCCGGCATGGCTGTCCCGGGGCGCCGTAACGAGCTCCGGGCGAGAGAGGCGGGTCGCGGGCTCGGGCCCACCCCTGCCTGGGGAGGAGCGGAGGCTGCACCACCCCGCCTCTACTCAGTCTCCGCCTCCTCGGCCTACTCCAGTAGCGCTGCGCTTGGATGGCCCTGGTACCCAGTCGCTCTTGTCGCCGGTGGCCTCCGAGCCTGCCCGTTATTGACCCCAGCCTGCTGAATCAGAGGTGCGTAGAGCTGAAGGAGGCTCGCCTATTCCATTTTTATTTTTCTATTCGCTCGTGTATATAGACACATGCACGCACACACTTAGGACGAGTTTAGACGAGGCTTAGTTTCAGTGGGGACGAACTCCAAGAATCCCTCAACCATCTTCAAATCAACAAGTGTTTATTAAGAAATAAATGTGTTGGTGCCATTTCCTCAGGCCAGAAGTTTGCTTTCCTGTTTTTTGCCTGAGAGTGAGAGTGAATTCTAACCAAAAGTCGAAAATGAACTGAGAAATTTAAGGCAAAACCAAGAGAAAATTCTGGCAAAAGCAAGTGGCCTTAGGACTAATTTGTTCTATTCCAGAAAGGAATAAAAGGAAAGAGAATATCTACTAAGGTCTCTATTTCACACCAATATCGTATAGGATGTTGGTAAACTTTAGCAGCTCTGCCATCAGGTACTGTGTTCTCAAACTATTCCAAAAGAAAAAAAAAACTGAAGAGAAAGGAATGCTTCTGAATTCCTTCTAAATGGCCAGTGCTACCCTGATTCAAAACCACCCAAAGATACCAAAAAAAGAAAATTACCGATATCCCTGATGAACATAGAGGCAAAAATCCTCAACAAAATATTAGCAAACTGAATTTAAAAATCCATTCAAAGGATCATTCACCGTGACCAAGTGGGACTTATTTCAGCGATACATGGATGGTTCATTACCTGCAAATCAATCAAAAGGATATTCCATATTAACAAAAGGATGAAACCAGTCCATTTTATACTTCATCTTTTTCTCTTTTGTGTAGTTGCTTCCCTTCTATATTTTCTGAATTAAATGATTCTTTGATTACTATTCTCCAAATATGGATCATTTTCCTAAATTTTGTATCTGATTAAGCTTTCCTGGTGTCCACTATACCTTCTACCCTGTTGGTCTGCTCAGCTTAATTGTGCAGTTACAGAGGCGGATCAGGCCTCTGTAACTGCCAGGAAGCACATTCACTTGGTGAAATCAGGTGCAGGAGGTACACCAGCTCTCCCAGAAAGCAGAAACCAAGTTGAATGGTCCAGTTTCATTCTTTTGAATGTAGTTGCCCAGGTTTCCCAGCATCATTTACTGGGGAGACTGTCTTTTCCCAGTTGTATATTCTAGCTTTTTTGTTGAAGATTGAGTATAGACTATATAAGTATGGGTTTATTTCCTCTCTATTCTATTCCATTGATCTTTGTGTCTGTTTCTGTGACACTACCATACTGTTTTGATTACTGTAGCTTTGTAAAGTAGTTTGAAATCAGGGAGCATGAAATCTTCAGCTCTATTCTTTCTCAGGATTTCTTTGGCTATTTGGAGTCCTCTGTGGTTCCACAAAATGTTTTGCATTGTTTGTTCTTCTGTGAAAAGTACCATTAGTATTTTGATAAGGATTGCATTAAATCTGTAGATTGCTTTGGTAGTGTGGACATTTTAACAATATTAGTTCTTCCAATCCATAGGCGTGGAATATCTTTCCATTTATTTGTGTTGTCTTCAACTTATTTCATCAATATCTTTTAGTTTTCATTGTACAGGTCTTTCACCTCCTTGGTTAAATTTTTTCCTAGGTAATTTATTCTTTTTGTGTAGTTATCAATGTGATAGTTTTCTTAATTTCTCCTACTGATAGTTCATTATTAGTGTATAGAAATGTGGAGATTCATGTATATTAATTTTGTATCCAGCCACTTTACTAAATTCATTTATTCTAATAGTTTTTTGATGGAGTCCAGGATTTTCTGTGTATAGTATCATGTCATCTGCAAATAGTGACAGTTTTACTTCTTTTCCAGCTTGGACATTCTTTATTTCTTTTCTTCTCTGATTGCTGTGGCTAAGACTTCCAATACTATGTTGAAATAAAAGTGTGAGAGTGGGCATCCTTGTCTAGTTCCTGATCTTAGAGGAAAAACTTCCAAGTGTTCACCACTGAGTGTGATCTTAGCTGTGGGTTTGTCATATATAGCCTTTGCTATGTTGAGGTATGTTCCCTCTGAAATCACTTTGTTGAGAGTTTATCATAAATGCATGTGGAATTTTATCAAATGCTTTTTCTACATCTATTGAGATGATCATGTAATTTTTATCCTTCTTTTTGTGAATGTGGTGTACATGTTGATTGACTTACAAATATTGAACCATTCTTGTATCCCTGGACTAAATCCCACTTGATCATGGTATATGATACTTTAAAAATATTGTTGAATTCAGTATGCAAATACAGTTAGCCCTTGAACAACATAGGTTTGCACTACATGGGTCCACTTATATTCAGATTTTTTTTTCAATAAATACATTGGAAAAACTTTTGGAGATTTGTGGCAATTTGAAAAACCATTCTTTTTTTATGGTGTCTTTGGTTTTGATATCAGGGTAATGCTGGCCTTGTAGAATAAATGTGGAAACCTTCCTTCCTATTCAGTTGTTTTTGTAATAGTTTGAGAAGGTATGAGTATAAACTCTTCTTTACATGTTTATTGGAATTGACTGGTGAAGCCATCTGGTCCTAGAATTTTGTTTGTTTGGAGTTTTTAATTACTGATTCTATTTTGTTACTAGTAATCAGTCTGTTCAGACTTTCTACTTCTGGTTCAGTCTTGGAGATTGTATGATTCTAGTAATTTATCCATTTCTTCTACATTGTTCAATTTGTTGGCATATAATTTTTTCATAGCAATTTCTTATAATCCTTTGTATTTCTGTGGTGTTAGTTATAACTTCCTTCATTTCTGATTTTATTTATTTGAGCCCTTACTCTTTTTACCTTGATGAGTCTGGCTAAAGGTTTATCAGTTTTGTTTATCTTTTCAAAGGAACCAGCTCTTAGTTTCATTGATCTTTTCCATTGGTTTTTTAGCTTCCATTTCATTTATTTCCTTCTATTTCCTTCCTTCCACTAACTTTGAGCTTTGTTTGTTCTTTTTTTTTTCTTTTAGGTGTAAAGTTATACTGTTTATTTAAAAATTTCTTGTTTCTTGAGGTAGGTCTATATCACTATAAACTTCCCTCTTAGAACTGCTTTTTCTGCATCCCAAAGATTTTGAACCATTATCTCTATTAACATTTGTCTGGTATTTTTAAATTTCGTCTTCAATTTCTTCATTGACTCAAATGTTGTTTAATAGCCTGTGTTTTGGCCACCACATGTTTTTGTGTCTTCCATTTTTTTTTCTTGTAGTTGATTTCTGGTTGTGATTGGACAAGATGCTTGATATGATTTCAGTCATCATAAATTTTCTGACATTCATTTTGTGGCCTACCATGTGATCTATCCTGTAGAATGTTCCATGTGCACTTGAAAAAAATGTGCATTCTGCTGTTTTTGGATGGAATGCCTGTGTATATGTGTTAAGACCATCTAGTCTAATGTATCATTGAAAGCCACTGCTTCCTTACTGGTCTTTCTGTCTGGATGATCTATCCATTGATACAAGTGGGGTATTAGGTCCACTACTGTTACTGTATTACTGTCAATATCTCCCTTTATGTTTATTAATATTTGCTGTATATATTTAGGTGCTCCTCTCTTGGGTGTATAGATATTTATAAATGTTATATTCTCTTGTTAGAATGATTCCTTTATGATTAGGTAATGCCCTTTTTTGTCTCTTTTTACAGTCCTTGTTTTAAAGTCTATATATGATTTATATATTGCTACCCCACCCTTTTTTTCACTGTCATTCATGTGGAATATCTTTTTCCATTCCTTCACTTTCAGTCTGTGTGTGTTTAGATATGAAGTGAGTCTCTCATAGGCAGCACAAATATGGGTCTTCTTTTTTTTTTTTTTGTCTATTCAGCTACCAGAGCATTTAGTCCTTTTACTTCAAAGTAATTACTGATAGATATGTACTACTGCCATTTTGTGGATTATTTTCTGGTTATTTATGTTGTTCTTCTATGTTCCTTTCTTTTTCTGTCTCTTTTCCCTTGTGATTTGGTTACTCTCCTTAGTGTTACATTTGTACTCCTTTCTCTTTATTTTTGTGTATCTATTTTAGATATTTAGGTTGTGGTTACCATGAGGTTCATACCTAAGATCTTATGTACCTAGCAGTTTATATTAAGTTGATGGTCACGTATGTTCATGTGTGTTCTAAAAGCACTGTGTTTTTACTTCCCCCATTTTATATTTTGATGTCATTATTTTGTTTATCCCTTGACTAATTATTGTAAGTCTAGATGATTGTATTACTTCTATGTTTAACCTTCATACCAACTATGTAGGTGGTAGACCTTTAGTATATGTTTACCATTACCAGTGAGATTTTTTTTTTCATAATTTTATTTCTAGTTATGATCATTTTTGTTTAAAGAAGTACCTTTAATATTTCATGTAAAGCTGGTTTATTGTTGTTGAACTCCTTTTGCTTTTTCTTATCTGGGAAACTCCTTATCCCTTCTTCTGTTAGGAGTGATAACCTTGCTAGGTAGGTTATATACATGGTTGTAAGTTTTTCCTTTCAGCACTTTGAACATATCATGCCATTTTCTTCTGCCTGTAAAGTATCTGCTGAAGAATCAGCTGATAGTCTTACGGGAGTTCCCTTGTATGTAACTAGTTGTTTTCTCTTGCTGCTTTTAAGATTCTTTAACTGTGGACACTTTGCTTGTAATGTGTCTTGGTGTGAGTCTCTTTGGGCTCATCTTGTTAGGGACTTTCTATGATTCCTGAATATGGTTGTCTGTTTTCTTTGCCAAGTTAGGAAAGTTTTCAGTGATTATTTCTTCATATATGTTTCTGTCCCTTCCTTACCTCTCATTCTCAGACCCCTATGTGTGAATGCTAGTATGTTTGATGGATTTTTCATTCGATTATTGTATTTTTCAACTTGATTGGTTCTTTTTTATATTATTTCTTTGTTGAAGTTCTCACTGTGTTCATCCACTCTTCTTTCAAGTTCAGTGAACATCTTTATTACCATTACTTTGAACTCTTTATCTAGTAGATTGCACATCTCTGTTTTGTTTAGTTCGTCTCCT